AAAAAAAAAAAAAAAAAGAGAAAGAAAGAAAGAAAAGGAGTTGCTTGATGTGAGAGTGAAATGGACGTGAGGTTTTATCCGCCTCCAGCCCAGCCCGCCGCTGCGCCCGACGCGCCCTGTCTGGGACCTTCTCCCTGCCTGGACCCCTACTATTGCAACAAGGTGAACGCTCTGCTTTTGTTTCCGCCGGGGTCTGCCGCCGAGTCGGGCGGGGGGCGTGGGGCGACGCGGCCGGCGGCTCGCGGAGTCCGTCCTGGGGCGCGCTCGCTAGCAGCCGCTGAGCCTGCGAGCGCCTGGGGAGGAATGCGGAGAAGCGCCGGGGCTTTACCCAACCCCGCGGTTGTGCGGAAAGTGGCACGATTTGTTCGGATTCTTTCCTTCCTGCTGTTCGCGACTCAGGACCCCTGCCTAGGTTTGCCGGGGGGCGTTTAAGAAAAATAAAAGCAAACCACAGACTACTTTGGGGGTGTGTCTGGGGTCCCGGAACGGAGGCAGAGAGTAGGAAAATCAGTTTATTTTCCAGTTTCTCCTTCTTCCTCCCTCCCGCTCCCAGGCAGCACGACCTCGTGGCCCCGCTTCCCTTCCCGGGATTAGTTGCCAGGGAAGTCTCTGGGAGTCGAGGTGTAGGGACCCGGGGGACACCCCCGCCCCCCGCCGGGAAAATTACCCCATAACTCTTGTTTTTCCATACTCCTTCGGCGATCGAGCCCAGTGTCCGCACACCAGGGCGCAGCGGGGCAGTGGGTTCACGGGCAGCGGGTTCCTCTTTTATGGGGTGCGCGCGGGATTGCAAGTTTGTTGGGAGATGGGCGAGAGCGCGCTGTTCACGTACAGAGCCCTGGTACTCGGCCCTGGGTACCTCCCGCTGTCCCCAGGTGCCAGAGCAAGGCTGGCGACGCCGGTGGCCCAGGGTTGCTGCGGAGCCCGGTTCTGCTTGCAGATGTGACAGTCAGAAGGGACGTAGGTAGAGAGTTACTTTTGGGGCGTCGCGAACCCTGCGCCGGGAAAGGGAGGACACGCGGGGACTGGCCTCCGAGAGCAGCCGCGGGACGTCGGCGCTCCTCGCCTCGGGCTTGTTGGAAATGCTTAAACAGTCCCGCCCGGGGAACGTAGGCGGGGAAAATTGAGTTCTCTGATAATCGGGGCGGGCGGTTTAGATGCCCGGTTCCCTCTTGGGTGGTAAATCTGGCTGACACAGCCCCTGCAGGCACTGCCATCTCGACCCCGCGGAGAATTCCGCAGGAAAAATCATTGGGGCTCCCAACATTTGCCTTGTGGCGAGTCATCATCACTTTTTTTTTTTTTTTTTTTAATGTGATACAGAGGTTGTTTAGCGCTCTGCATCCTCAGCCCCAGGGCTCCCCACCACGCGACCGATCGACTCGCTGCCTAAGTCTTGGTCAATCGGGGAACACACACACACACACAGACTTGTGAGTTAAGTAAACCACAGACATCACCCCTTAAAGAAGCGCCTTGATGCTGTGTGCACTGTGAAACCCAGGAAAAGGGGAGCGCTGTGTGCCGCAGATATTTCGGCGAGTTTGATGAGAGGGGTATCTAGTCTTGTGCAAGGCAGAAAGGCTTTTTATCACCCAGGGAGCCTTTTAGCTAGGGGTGAGTCGGAAGGTACGTGGAACTTTAGAAAGAGCAAAGGAGTTTGTGTGATGGAGTTTCATTTGTTGGTGACATAATTCTTTTAGTCTAAAATGTTTTCTGTCTTTATAAGCAAGCATTATGTATTTATTTTCCTTGTCGCACGATACTTACTATTAATACAAATAATAATAATAATAAAGTAGCAGCCTTCTCTCGGAGGGTAAAAACGTTTTCCACAATCCTAACGGGAACCAAAAGGTAACATCCATTTTGGCAATCAAACTAGACAAATCTTATTAAATTTATCAGTGAGTTTAGGCTCCAAAAAGAAGGTAATGACTTGGATACACATTTCACTTGTCATTCTTGAGCTAGTAGGGTCAAATTTAATTTAAAAGTTAAATGCTTTGGAAAATCAGGAATTACTTCAATATATTAAATCATTTCCAATTAAGTGCTTTAAATAATTTTACTGAGTTGTGCTGTGAATTGAATAAATTAATTTAGAAAGTCTTCAGAATTTCTTTACTAGCTCATTGAAGTTCCTTTTAAGTCACATCATGTATGAAGGAGCAAACTGTTCTTTTTAAATGCAAATTAGCCACCCTTTCTATAGACTAGTTGCAAGTCTTCTATTTAACTTATCCAGGGAATAATGGATTTTTAAAAATGCAAAGTCATACGACATGCTTATAATAGAAGGAAAAGACTTCATGTAAATGTTTCTCACAGGACGCCTTCTCCTGCTCATCTTGGTGTAGCAGTCTATCAAATATATTTGTTACTGATCCCTGATTATCTTAAGGGGCTGAGGAGGTTTGCTAGGCCCCAGAAAGCCTAGATTCTTGTGCTTTCTACTCTCTCGTTATTAGCATAGGTACAGAATTTCTGTCCATGTCAACTCTTTCAGTTGCTGAGAATATAGTCAACTAGCATTAATTTTTGTGATGAGTTGAGTGGATTTGCAGGGATAGGAAGAAGTGAAAAACTTTGGAAGAGGTACAGTAAAATATCTACATCTGCGTTTAGCAAGAACAAGTCGGTTCAGACTTCCCCAAAAGAGATTAGATTACAGAATAAACCTTGTCTCTATCAGAGATGTGATGACCATGTAGTTTATTATAGGAGACACTTTGTTAGGTTGTTTTTAATAGAATAATAAGATCATACATTACTAATTTCTTTTAAACTTGTCAACAGTTTACTGTTTAAAGTTGGTGTGCTACATCCCACAAAGACCAGAATCTTTCAGTGCATCAGTTTCATGCTGTTGTTGTACCTGTAGTTTCCCAAGTATTTTCAGTGTCAGAAGAGACCCTTAGCAAGAACATGATGATACGCTTCCTAAAGCTTTTCTACACTAGAATCTGATTGTTTCACTCTGCTGACACTTTCTAGCACCTTGCTGCTTTATATTGCCAAAATACTACTTAGATTTTTCATTTAAATAAACTCCATAGGAGGAATCTGGGGGGCAACATTTTAAAGTCGTATTGCTGTATTACTTTTACCAGGCTATTACATTATGAACATATCACTATGAAAACTGGCTTCTATTTTCACATAGCCTATTGTGAAAGAAAAAATGAGAACAATGCCAATGATGTTGGTTATGGCAACTGTGTGAGGGATCTCTTATACAAACAGAATGGATGGCATGTTGTTGTATATAGGTCAGCCTTTAAAATAGCAATGTAGTACACAAACTGGGGAGACACATGTAGGCAAGAGGAGACTGCTCACCTCTTGCAACTTAAAGCATAGTTATATTTCAGACATTGAGAGATGGATACCATAGCTGAGTTTCATCTAATTAAGGCTATTTTAAGTAACATTGCATCTCTTAATTGAACTGAATGCCACCAAAAGAAATTGGATTAAATGAGCTCAGTAGTAAAATACAGCCCTGTTTTTTGTTCAAGTTGAGGATGTCTGATCATCAGTTTAAATATATGCCTACAGAGTAATAACAGTACCTTTCAGTTTTCTTAGTGCAATGTCATTTCTTAAGATTGTTTTCACTGATGTTTATGCTAAATTAGTACAAAGAAGTAGCATTTTTTCATTTTACAATGATGTGGTATGTTCAGTTACTGCTCAGTATCTGCCCACATAAGGAGTAGTAATACAATTATGTTATGACATAGCTAATGACAGGGAGGCTGACCCCTGCCAGCAGTGGGAGAGGAAATAATGGTCTTTACAGTTCTCAGTGGTTGCTTTTGTGGAATCATGTCCTGAATCTTTGCTTGATTTAGAAACAGGGAAGTCTAAAATACAAACCCATGCTTAATGCTAGTTACATACAGAGTAAAGAATAACAAGCATTTGGAATATTGGGCTTTTGTCATTGAAATGAGGAAGGACATACATAATCTTTCTATATAAACACAGGAAGAAGGATCTATTTATTTGTGATGAACTCTGCTTTAAATGATAAGGCAGGCATTAAACATTTAATAACTTTTGAGAAAAACATGGCTCATTATCCTCTGTGCAAAATCTCCTTTGAGTTTATTTTTCTATTTAAAGTGAAGAAGGAACATATTTAAAGTGAGAAGGAAGTGGGGAGGGCTATAAGCAATGTAGAGCATCATGCTTGATGAGCCCTGTCTCCACCTCCATAACTTCTGGGACTTTGGAAAATTCATAGATGATGCTTGGTACATCACTAGTGTAATTAAAACTGGCCTTGGGAGTTTTGTTAGTTGGCACTTTTCATAAATTTTGGGGATCTTTTAAAAATGTTTTAAATACATTTATAGGTAAGAAAGAGAATAAACTAAGCAATCATACAAAAATCTCAGATGTAGCAATCTTGACTTTGTGGAATATTTCATTGCCACAGATTCCAAGTTCAATGCCTGTGCCAAAATTTCTAATTAATAGCTTTGGAGAAACTGATCTTTTACATAGCCTTTTCTTACGTGCTTTAGTATTTTCACAGTTTATCAAATATTTTAAAAGTATAGAATGATGGTATTTTGAGCATTTTGATGTTTTGCTGACTTAAGAGCACTAAAGTGACATTTAAATCAAATATTATCTAATAGACTATTTATTGTAGGGTTTTTTTTTCTTCTTCTTCTTTCTTTTCTTTTAAATAATATGATTGCAAAGAGATGAAGAACAGTAGAAAATATGTATGATGCTTGAACCTGGAGGTAGTAGGGAAATTACCAAGTTTAACAGGGGCTTCCTTGGTACCAAAGTTGGGTCCTAAATGTTGGTTTTGGTATGTGGGACAGTTTTTTATGGTCATAATTTTTTTGTGATATGCTCAGTTCATGAGAAGGATAGCTTAGAAAATTGGAAGAGAAAAACAAATATCATTTAGCTGTTAAAGATAAATTTTTCTAGTGCTTTCCAACCTTGTTCTACTACACCAGAAAACTGAAGAAATCCTGGGTGTATTTCTCAACTGTTGGTAATCCTTCCTTTTCTAATTGATGCCTTCAGCATCAGTTGTGTCTGTGTGCTTGGAGCCTCTTAACCCCCATCTCACACATGCATAGCACCCCCAGCTTTGGAACAACCCTTGCCTTTGCTGTCTGCTCCCCAAT